TGGTCCTCTCGCGAATGGTGTGTGGAAGACCCTTTCTGGCAGTTGGATCACCTCGATGAGGTTCCATGATACACGTCGATTCACGTGTATGTTAGGCAGTTCAGCCTCGGATTCGTTTCGACACTACTGGGAGTGCCCTCTCTTCAGTGCCCTGTTGCAGCAAGCTCTTCCTAGCGACGTCCATTCCTGTCCCATCTGCCGCCCCCGTATTTTTCTTCCCACCAGTGCGTATCTGTCCGTTCCTGCGTGTGCCCACTTGTTGTTCTTGAATCTCCGTGCGATTTTTCACCTGCCCTATCTTCTGTCCATTTCGGCCGCTAACTATTCGGTGCCCTTCGCGAGGGTGCAGCTAGCTCGCGCAAGCGCGGGCTCGGGCCGATCGGCAGGACTCTGGCGCGCGGCCGCGTGCGAGGAGGAGGAGGAGGAGGTGGAGGAGGGGGAGGAGCATGGGGGGGATGGGGGAGGAGGAGGAGGAGGAGGAGGAGGAGGAGGAGGAAGAGGAGGAGGATGAGGAGGAGGGGGAGGAGGAGGAGGAGTAGGAGGAGACGGAAAAGGAGGAGGGGGAGGAGGAGGAGGGGCAGGATGAGGAGCTGGAGTAGTGGACGAGGAAGATGAGGAAAAGGAGGGGGAAGAGGAGAGGATGCGGAGGAGGAGGGAGGAGAAGGAGGGGGGGGAGGAGGAGGAGGAGGAGGAGGGGGAGGAGGTGGAGGAGGGAGGAGGGGGAGGAGGTGGAGGAGGAGGAGGAGGAGAAGGTGGTGGTTTAGGAGGAGGAGGAGGCAAACGATGGTGATGTTGATCCTGATGCTGGTAATGATGATGATGATGATGATGATGATGTTGTTGATGATGATGATGATATGATGATGATGATGCTGATGATGATGATGGTGATGATGGTGATGATGATGATGACGATGATGATGATGATGATGATGATGATGACGATGATGATGATGATGATGATGGTGGCGATGATGAGGACACTGATGATTCTGATGATGATGCTGATGCTGATGGTGATGATGCTGAGGAGGAGGAGGAGGAACATGAGGATGAGGAGGATGATGATGAGGGGCATGAGGTGGAGGAGGCGGAGGAGGAAAAGGAGGAGGAGGTGGATCAGGAGGAGGACGAGGACGAGGAGAAGGAGGTTGAGGAGAAGGATGAGGAGGAGAGGAGGAGGAGGAGGAAGGAGGAGGAGGAGGTGGAGGAGGAGGAGGCGGAGGGAGGAGGAGGAGGCGGAGGAGGAGGAGGAGGAGGAGGGGGGAGGAGAGGAGGAGGAGGAGAGGAGGAGGAGGAGGAGCAAGGAGGAGGAGGAGGAGGAGGAGGAGGAGGAGGAGGAGGAGGAGGAGGAGGAGGGGGAGGAGGTAGGAGGAGGAGGGGAGGACGGAGGAGGAGGAGGAGGAGGAGGAGGAGGAGGAGGAGGAGGAGGAGGAGGAGGAGGAGGAGGAGAGGAGGAGGAGGAGGAGGAGGAGGAGGAGGAGGGAGGAGGAGGAGGAAGGAGGAGGAGGAGGAGGGAGGAGGGGGAGGAGGAGGAGGAGGAGGAGGAGGAGGAGGGAGGGAGGAGGAGAGGAGGAGGAGGAGGAGGAGGAGGAGGAGGAGGAGGCGGAGGAGGAGGAGGAGGGAGGAGGAGGAGGAGGAGGAGGGAGGAGGAGGAAGGAGGAGGAGGAGGAGGAGGAGGAGGAGGAGGGGAGGAGGAGGAGGAGGAGGAGGAGGAAGGAGGAGGACAGGGGAGCAGGGGGGACAGGGGGAGGGGAGGATTTGGAGGAGCCCATTCGATGGCATCTTGGGGCGTTCTTGGTGCCAGACCGGGTTGTGGACATCGCGCCTTTTTGGGAAAATTCTTGGGGTCTCTTGGGGGTCCTGTTTGCGACCTCTTTGATGTATTTTTGGGCCCTCCTGGGGCCTCTTGGGTGCCTCTTGGGGCCTCTTGGGAGGTCTTTTGCGGCTCTGGAGGCCTCTTGGGATCATCTTGGGGGCCCGTTGGCGGGTTTGACATGTTAGTTCGGAACTCTCCCTCTTAGGGCTCTCATTTAGAGCCTCTGGAGCCTTCTTGCGAGGCCTCTTGGGCCGTCTTGGGGTACTCTTGGGCCGCTTCGGCGCCGTCCTCGGAGCCTCTTGCTGTGACTGGGGGCGATCTTGGGGGCACTTGGGCGGTCGGAAACAAAAGCAGGCGGTGACGCCGAAACTATTCCCAAATCTTATGGAACTCTCAGATATTTAGCCTCGGGGGGCCCTCGTGGGCTTGGTCCTGGGGCTGCACTGAAGCCTCTTGGGGTCGCTCCCGGGCCATCTGGACGCTTGCCCTTGCCGCTCATTGATCCGGACTCTTGGGTCCTCTTGAAGCTCCCTTCGGGGTCCTTCGGGGCGCTCCTGGGGCGATCCTGAGAGCCCCGCAGACCGCCGCCTGGCTGGGTGGACCGCCGATGCCCGCCACGCGCTGGAACTAGATCGGAGGTCGGTGGGTGTAAACGGAAGTGACCCCGACAGGAGAATCGGTTTCGGTTTCGGTTCGCGTCGTGCGTGCGGGCGAGGCGAAGCTGCGCGAGTTCCTGCAGTGGTAGAGGCCACATGGAGCCCCAAGGGCCGCTCCCCCCCAGGCGGGCGCGGCCCCCGGTTGTCCCGATGGTTGTCCCGATGGTTGTCCCGATGGTTGTCCCGATGGTTGCCCCGATGGTTGTCCCGATGGTTGTCCCGATGGTTGTCCCGATGGTTGTCCCGATGGTTGTCCCGATGGTTGTCCCGATGTTGTCCCGATGGTTGCCCCGATGGTTGTCCCGATGGTTGTCCCGACGGTTGTCCCGATGGTTGTCCCGATGGTTGTCCCGACGGTTGTCCCGACGGTTGTCCCGGTGGTTGTCCCGATGGTTGCCCCGATGGTTGTCCCGATGGTTGCCACGATGTTGCATATATAGATAAGCATATCGGTAGGTAGGTAGGTAGGTAGGTAGGTAGGTCGGTCGGCTAACATACTGATATTTATATAATGTGTATATATGTGTATATATACAGTTTCAAATATTGATACACTGACATATGGATCCTTTTATATGTTGTAGATATATAATATACGGTGGTATACCGACACAATGATCGATTGTTAGATTGATCGGTTGATCGAGGTAGAGGTGGTTTGTTAGGCGTATGTAGATGTATGTTTCTATCGGCATATAGGTATACATATAGTGCCATCACGACCACACCCGGATGGATGTCCCGATGGTTGTCCCGATAGAGCCATCACGATGGCCATCGCCACTTTTGTTGCCACTAGGCAAATAAACATAGATATGTGTATATATATATATATGTACATGTCGATGGATATATGGGTGTCGGGAATCGATAATTCGATAGAGACGATAGGTAGATGCGTCGATGTGCGCGACAGTAGGAAAGTTGAGAAAACCACTAAAGAACCCCGAGCCATCGCAAATCGACCGCCTCCCCCACCTCCCAACCTCCTTATCACCCGTAGGGTGGTCCTATCGGTCTACAATCCACCTGTTACCAGAGGTTTTAGCACGCCTCTGGCCCGTCGGGCCGGCAAATTTCTATTGCGGGAAGTGCTTCGTTGGAAGACAACCGTTTGATAATCTTCTGTCGTACCATAAGACCATTCCTGGAATTCCGCGCCGCGAATCAACGTGTTTGTTGCGTTCTGACAATCCTAATTTGTACCAGAGCTGAGACGTCACACCGCAAATCAACGTGACTGTTGCGTCTTGAACACTCTAAATTGGCCCAGAATACCATGATTGGGACTTCGACCATGCGAATCCTTGAAGCTGCCACGAATTTTCATGACGAGTGTGCGCGGAACTAGAGCGATATCCGCATTTTGAAAACAATTGCTTTCCATCCATGACGCTGCTGCAAAAAATTGAAACGAATGTGCTAAAATGATAGATGCATGTTGAAGGCGGCCAGCCTTCCATCCGAGAGGGTGTTGCAGACTTTTAGGACGAATGTGCGCGGCGTTAATGCTAGAGCCACGTTATGAAAACGGCCCGCCCTCAATCCGTGAAATTGTTGCACACATTTGAGACGAATGCGCGTTGAAATAATGCGATAACCACATGTTGAAAACGATCCGCCCTCCGTCCGTGAAACTGCTACAAATTCCAAACTTCAGGATCACACGTGGTGAGGACGTCTCAGGCGAGACGGCAGACTCGCCCTACCAACACGTCAAATATGCGACAGGGAGGATTTCTTTACGAGGAAAAGGGATTGGGGAGGAGGAGGAGGAAGAGGAGGAGGTTGAGGAGGAATCGGCTGGGCAGGAGGAGGAGGTGGATGAGGAGGAGGAGGAGGAGGAGGAGGAAAAGCAGGAGTAGGAGGAGGAGGAGGAGGAGGAGGGAGGAGGGAGGAGGAGGAGGAGGAGGAGGAGGAGGAAGGGGAGGAAGAGGGGAGAGAAGAGGAGGAGGAGGAGGAGGAGGAGGAGGAGGAGGAGGACAAGGAGGAGAAGGCGGAGGCGGAGGAGGAGGCGGAGGCGGAGGGGGAGGAGGGGGAGGCGGAGGAGGAGGAGGAGGAGGAGGAGTGAGAAGGAGGATGGAGGAACATGAGGAAGGGAGGAGGAGGATGATGATGGATGATGACGGATGGAGGTAGGAGGGGCGGCGGAGGAGGAGGCGGAGGAGGAGGAGGGGGTAGGAGGAGGAGGAGGGAAAATAGGAGGAGGTATGGAGGATGATGAGATGATGATGATGATGATGATGAGGAGGAGGAGGAGGAGGAGGAGGAGGGGAAGGAGGAGGAGGGTGGGAGGAGGAGGAGGAGGAGGAGGCGGAGGAGGACGGAGAAGGAGGAGGAGGAGAAGGAGGAGGAGGAGGAGGAGGAGGAGGGGGAGGAGGAGGAGGAGGAGGAGGAGGCGTAGGAGGAGGAGGAGGAGGAGGAGGAGGAGGAGAAGGAGGAGGAGGAGGAGGAGGAGGAGGAGGAGGAGGAGGAGGAGGAGGAGAGAGGAAGGCAGCCGATGCCTCAACCGGGCCTCCCAAGGCTCTCTTGTCTGGACGCTCCTGCGCTGGGTCGGGCTGGTGAGGCTGCGCCTGCTGCGCCTCTGCTGGGGGGCTGGGGAGTCCGTGGAGGCAAAGCGTGTTGCTTGTGGAGTCCGTGGCGTCCCTGGGGGGAGTCCGTGGAGTCGTTGTGAAAGGCAGTTGGTTGATGCCTGTCATCCCAGGCGCCAAACAGGCGTTTTCGCCTCATGTCAGCTCCCTGGGCCATCGCGGGCCCATTTGGCCTGAGAGCTCCCGTGCTGACGTGAGGCCGAGGCCCGTGGTAGTTCTTCTTTAGTGGCTCTGTTCTTTGTTGTTTTGTTCTCGCGGCGTCGGAGATCGGGGATATTCGGGGGCGGGGGACGGAGGGGTCGGTTTCTGCAGGAGGACGAGGGAGGAGGAGAAGGAGGAGGGGGAGGAGGAGGCGGAGGAGGAGGAGGAGGAGGAGGAAGAGGAGGGGAGGAGGAGGAGCAGGCGGAGGCGGAGGCGCGGAGGGTGAAGAGGGATGGCGGGAGGGAGGTCGGAGAGGGGACGAGCGAGCGAGGAGAAGGGAACGGGGGTGGATATGGCGGTGTGTGGTTTATTGGTCCGTTGGCTGCCGGGGTGGGGGTCGTGGGTGGGTCATGGGGACTGTTTGTCCCTTGGGTGGGGGGTGGGGTAGGGGGAATGGGGGGGGGAGCGAGGGACCATGCGCCCCGCCGCCCTCTGGACTCCTTGGCCCCCCCCCGCGGCCGCCCAGAGCTGGCGCTGTACGTCTCCCCTTCCGACGGCTCCGTGAGCCTCGCGAGGGCGCTGCCGTCCCGCCCCGAGGGCGCCGTGCGCTGCGTCTGCGTCTCCGACACGCACCTGCAGCACCGCCGGCTGCGGCTGCCCCCCGGGGACGTGCCCAGCCTCCCCCCCCCCTCCCCCGGACTCGCGGGCGAAACGCAGCCATCGAATGTTGAATCCTGCTCCTGCTCCTGTTCCTCCTCCTCCACCGCCTCCTCCTCCTCCTCGTCCTCCTCCACCTCCTCCTCCTTTCTGCTCTCTCCTCCTCATACCTCCTCCTCCTCTTCCCCTCGATCCCATCTTCGTCCTCCTCCCCCATCCTCCCCCGACTCCCTCTTCTTCCCCTCCCTCCCTCGCTGCCCCTCCTCTAACGGCTCTGCGGCCTCGCGGGCCATGGGCCCCTGGGCCGCGATCCCGCGGGTACGGAACGTTGTTTCGCGTGTGCCCCGTACAGCGTCTCCGTGCGTCGGCGTGCCCGTGGGATCGCGCCCTGGAGTCCAGACCGCGAGGGCGTGGATATGGATGCGTTCAACAAAACGATCATCGTGAATGATCTGCAGACGGCAACGCCCAAAAGGACCATTCAGTGATATTCGCTCTCCAATGTTGGCAGCGTGCACAGGCGTACACCATGGGCCAGGTCATTGATATGCCACACTTTGGCTTGCGCGCCCAGTGGCATTATTGGGAGGCGGACGCCACTTGATGCCCGGGTGCTCTTCCAGGTTGATCCTTCACAGGGCCGCTGGCGTCGGCGGTTCCACGTTTTGCCTTGCGGTTTCGTTCCGACCAGTCGGATGGCTAACATGCAACGCGCAATGCAGACGATACGTTTTTCCGTAACATTGGCAGGCGGATGTCACTTGATGCGACGGGTCCCGCCTGGTCAGATTCAACATCTTTTCGGCTTCCATCCCTGTGCCGCTTTTGTCATGCAATTTTTTGACGGGGATGCAGTATGTGTGTCGACCTGTAGCTCGCCGCCAGTCGTGGGGCCCTCTGGGGGCCGAAGTCTCGGTCTCGGGGCAGTCCGGCGAGAGCTGCTCGGGGCGGAGAGGCAGGCCCCGAGGAAGTGGTCCAGGGGTTCCAGAGATACGGGGGTCAATGCAAGCGGGGGTCCATCAGAGCGTCGGATCTTGCAGGACCCTGCAGAGCCAGAGGGGGCATTGACCCAGGCTTGCGTGCAGGATCTTGCAGGATCCTGAAGGATGTTGCGCGATCCTGCAAAGCCCGACTGACCCGGGTCCGGATTGGCCCGGGTCTTTAGATCCCCGACAGGCCAGGGGGCCCACGCATCGAGAAAGTCGGGGCGCAAGGTGTCGGGGGGAGGGGGCGTCGTGAGGAGGGGATGCGACCGACGTTCTCGCAGATGAGAAAGTGTACCTGTGCCGATTCCCTCCCTTTGTTTTTGCATCTCTTGGGTCTTTGGGGGAGCCCTCGTTGCCGCCGCCGGGTTCGCCTCGGAGTCCTGGTCAGAACGCCCCCCGGGAGCGGTCCTGGGAGCAAAAGTATCGCTATCCAAGGTTGTCGGTGCTGTATAGCTGCCGCTTTCGACGGAAACATGACCTTGTTCTTGCCCCGCCTGCGGGCCTGGGGGACTTCGCGCATCGGTCCGACTCGAAACGTGCCGCTTGAAGTGTTGGGGGTCTCCAGAACACCCCCGCGAGGCCGAGAGACCAAGAGGTTTCAAGACGGCGCGGAAAGCTGAGAAGGCACCGTTGGGCCAGGGCCACCTTTGGCAGCCCACCTTAAAATGAGGTCGAGGTCGAGGCCTCCCGTCGCGGTTTTCCATGGCGTCTTTCGTTCGTTGTTTCATGTGCTAATGTTGTGGTTGTGGTTGTTGTGGTTGTTGTGGTTGTTGATGTTGTTGTTGTTGTTGTTGTTGATGTTGTTGTTGCTGCTGTTGTTGTTGTTGTTGTTGTTGTTTATGCTGCTGCTGTTGCTGTCGTTGTTGTTATCGTCGTCGTCGTCGTCGTCGTCGTCGTTGTCGATGTTGTTGTTGTTGTTGTTGTTGTTGTTGTTGTTGTTGTTGTTGTTGTTGTTGTTGTTGTTGAAAGCTCATTTGGACAAATCATTATTGTTGATCCCCCCCGTCCGGTGTACATTGTTTTTCGATTGAAGTGCCCTTCCCGGGGCTCGCACGTTGTTTTTTAGCAGGGGAAGTCTTGAGGGTCAAACTGCGTTGTTGGCCCCCGGCTTACAACAACAGCGGCTCCCGCTTGATACCTCCTCACAATTTACTGAAGAATCGCGCTTTCGCTTGGGCTTTCTTTGCAATTTACCACCGGATCGCGGCTCCCGCCTGATACTTCCTCACAATTTATTGAAGAATCGCGCTCTCGCTTGGGACTTCCTCACAACCTACCACCGAATCGCGGCTCCCGCTTGATACTTTCTCACAATTTATTCAGATGCCGCTCCCCGACACTCAGGAATCGCGCTCCCGCTACACATTGCCTGGCGGTTCAAACAGAATTTACGCTTCAACGACCAGCCCGCTCGACCCGCCCGTCTGGGCCTGCCCGCCCGACCAGCCCGTTAGGGAGTGCAGTCGCCGCTCGCTGCCCTTCGCTCGCTTTCGATGCCCCTCGCTGCCCGTACTGGCTCCGCGGTCGCTTTCGCTCGCTGCCCTTCGTGGCCCCGTTGCTGCCCTCAGTGGCCCCGTCGCTGCCCATTTGTGGCCCCGCATTATATGCCCTTCGTGGCCCCCGCTCGCAGTCGCCCGTCGTGGCCCCATACGCATGCCCTTCGTAGCCCCGCTGTCGCCCTTCGTGGCCCTCTCGCTGCCCTTCGTGGCCCACTTTGCTGCCCTCAGTGGCCCCGCTGTCGCCCTTTGTGGCCCCATATACGAATGCCCTTCGTGGCCCCCGCTCGTTCGCGCCCGTCGTGGCCCCATATGCATGCCCTTCGTGGCCCCGGTGTCGCTCTTCGTGGCCCCTCTCTGCCCTTCGTGGCCCCGTTTCTGCCCTCAGCGGCACCGTCGCTGCCCTCTGTGGCCCCGGATTAATTGCCCTTCGTGGCCCCCGCTCGCTCGCGCCCCTCGTGGTCCCATACGCATGCGTTTTGTCGCCTTGCTGTCGCCATTCGTGGCCCCCTCGCTGCCCTTCGTGGCCCAGTTTTTGCGCTCTGTGGCCCCGCTGTCGCCCTTTCTGGCCCCATATATGTATGCCCTTCGTGGCCCCCGCTCGTTCGCGCCCGTCGTGGCCCCATATGCATGCCCTTCGTGGCCCCGCTGTCGCTCTTCGTGGCCCCGTCTCTGCCCTTCGTGGCCCCGTTTCTGCCGTCAGCGGCTCCGTCGCTGCCCTCTGCGGCCTCCTAAACGTATGCCCTTCGGGGCCCCCGCTCGTTCGCGCCCGTCGGGCCCCCGGCAGGGAATGAATATACCCCCCAAGAGGGGGTACGATCGAAGACGAAGAGGGCGGGTATCCAGGGTTTGGGATATGCATGTTCAGTGACATGCGAGCAGATTAGAGCGAACAGTATTATTATTGTTTTTGTTGTTGTTGTTGTTGCTGTTGTTGTTGTTGCTGTTGTTGTTGTTGCTATTCATTTATTAATTTATGTATGTTTGTATGTATTTATGTAGTTATTTATGTATTGTTGTTGTTGTTGTAGTTGTTGTTGTTTTTGTTGTTGTTGTTGTTGTTGTTGTTGTTGTTGTTGTTGTTGCTGTTGTTGTTGTTGTTGTTGTTGTTGTTGTTGTTGTTGGAAAACACTTTTTCTATTTTTGTTTTATTAATTCTAACGAATAATTATTGTTGGGGCCCCTGGTGCGCGCCCCCCCCGCCGCGCCTAGGCCGCAGCCACATTTTCATCATTTTCGTGAGGAAGTCTCAGGCAAAACGTGGGTGTCCGGATCCGGTTGTGTTGTTACGATCGGTTTTCCCTTACAAAAAATATGGCAAAGGTGCGGGGACATTTTCTTTTCTAACCATAAAACCAAAGCTTCAAGGAAATCCCTGCGAAAAATTAAGGTAAAGTGACATTCGGACATATTCGCGCGCGCAAGGACGAAAATCCTTTCCAAAAACATTAGTTTTCGGTTAGCGAATTTTTAACATAAAAACATAAATAAATTATCCTGGCGAAGGACCAAACCATATGCAGTTGTGAGTATCGCAATTGTGAGTATCTTCTTCGGTGGCGCTCCCTATGGGGCCACGAACCGCATGAGGGGTGTGCCGAAATGTGGCGGGGTACACAACGCAAAGGAATACGATATATCTGATTACGAGGGAAAGAACGCGGGTGAGTCAGAGCGCGAGGGAATCTGAGTATGAATGGGTCTGCGCGCGAGTGAATATATTTGCATGAATGCGATCATGGAAACGCCTAGTGTAAGTGTATATGAATGTGAATGGTTCGAGCATGCCTGTCCGAACACACGTGACACTGGGCGTGGCCGCCGCAGGCAGCTTCCGCGGGAACCC